CTCCCCATCCTGAGACACCAGGTCCCCTCCTATGTCATTAGACACTGCGTCCCCTCCCCATCCTGAGACACCGGGTCCCCTCCTATGTCATCAGACACCTCGTCCGCTCCCCATCCTGAGACACCAGGTCCCCTCCTATGTCATTAGACACTGCGTCCCCTCCCCATCCTGAGACACCGGGTCCCCTCCTGTGTGTGTTCTCAGACACCTCATCCTCTCCCCATCTTGAGACACCGCGTCCCCTCCTATGTTCTCAGACACCGTGTCCCCTCCCCATCCTGAGACACCATGTCCCCTCCTATGTCATCAGACACCACGTCCCCTCCCCATCCTGAAACACTGCGTCCCCTCCCGTGTCACAGGCACCACATCCCCCCCCATCCTGAGACACCGGGTCTCCTCCTATGTCATCAGACACCATGTCCCCTCCTGAGTCATCAGACACCGCATCCCCTCCCCATCCTGAGACACTGTGTCCCCTCCTGAGTCATCAGACACCGCGTCCCCTCCCCATCCTGAGACACCATGTCTCCTTCTATGTCATCAGACACCGCGTCCCCTCCCCATCCTGAGCACAACCCTCTGTCCTGAGACACGGTGTCCCATCCCTGTCTTCAGCTACGGCGTCCTGTCCTCTGTCCTAAGACACGGTGCACCCTCCTCGCCCTCCCCGGGACACAGAGCGTCCCATGCAGGGTACAGCCCCGTCATGGCGTCCTTTGGTTTTAGGCGCAGGGAGCAGCTTTGGGGGGCCAGGATGTCAGTGGGCCAGGCACCCGCCGGCGAGGGCGGCCACCGCGGAAGCACCGCAAGAGGAAAGTAGCCATCAGCACAGAGGTGACCCTCTTTGAGATGGTCGCCCTGGGGAAGAACTCGGTGCAGGTACTGCCCGCTGCGGGGTGCGTGTGGTGGTGCGGGTGCGGGGGTGCAGCAGATGTGGGGGCCCTCCTGGTGTTTGTCGCTGCTCGCGCCACACAGAGGCCGGGTGTCCTGGCAGTCGTGGCTGCACCCACTGCTTCTTTGTTCTGCCCGGCCTGCTCAGTGGTCATGTGTGCCCGTCACACGTGCTCACCGCTGCCCATCACATCACCTGATCACACACGTACACACACATGGTCACCGCTGCCCGTCACACGCACCCGATCACACATGTACTCACCGCTGCCCGTCACACGCACCCGATCACACACGTACACACACGTGCTCACCGCTGCCCGTCACATCACCCGATCACACACGTACACACGCGTGCTCACCGCTGCCCGTCACATCACCCGATCACACACGTACACACACATGGTCACCGCTGCCCGTCACACGCACCCGATCACACATGTCACCGCTGCCCGTCACATCACCCGATCACACACGTACACACGCGTGCTCACCGCTGCCCGTCACATCACCCGATCACACACGTACACACGTGTGCTCACCGCTGCCCGTCACACGCACCCGATCACACACGTACACACGCGTGCTCACCGCTGCCCGTCACACGCACCCGATCACACGTACACACGCGTGCTCACCGCTGCCCGTCACACGCACCTGATTACACATGTATACACAAGTGCTCACCACTGGGATCATATTCATGATCACACACGTGTCCTCATGGCTGGCCGGTCCCACGCACCTCCTCACACACGTGTGCTCACCACTAGCTGTTGCCCCTGCAGACGGCCGTCGAGGAGTGGGTGCAGTCCTATAAGGTGGACAGGGAGCTGGCCTTGCTGGACCTCATCAGCTTCTTCGTCCAGTGCTGTGGCTGTGAAGGTGAGCCGTGCTCCTGGACCCTCGTGCGTGTCCCCACACGTGGGCCCGCTGGGCCTGCCTTTGCTGCCCACGTGCAGTTGTAAGAGACTGGGCGGGCTGGGGCTTTTCCAGCCGTTGATTTAGTTTACGTAGGAGACTTGTTATCTCAGAGCGAAGGGTGATTGTCCCCCCAAGGAAAGATCCGTCCACGTCCTGACCCCAGGACCTCAGGATGTGACCTCCTTGAGAAGAAGGACCTTTGCAGTTGTGAGCAGTAAGATAGTCTTTAGGGTGGCCCTAGTCCCACAAGACTTGGCGCTTGCAAGAGGAAGGACATAGGGGCACCTGGGTGGCTCAGTCAGTTAAGTGTGTGACTCTTGGTTTCACCTCAGGTCATGCTCTTAGGCTTGGATCGAGCCCCGAGTCAGGCTCTGTGCTCAGCAGGGCGTCTGCTTGAGATCCTCTCTCTCTCCCTCTCCTTCTGCCCCCCTCCCACTCATGCACTGTCTCTCTCTCTAAAATACATAAATAAAATCTTAAAAAAAAAAGAAGGGGAGATGGGGCGCCTGGGTTATGCTGCAAGAATGCCGGAAGCTGAAGGTCTCCAAGCTGTGTACAAGGGGGCAATTAAACACACAGAGCGTGAACGTTATTCGGTCCTGCCCAGCAGGGAACATGGACCCTTGCTGCCACGTGGATGGACTTTGAACACATGGTGCTCAGGGACAGATGGCAGGCACCTCAGACCACACAGGCTGACCCCATGTGCACAAAATGTCCAGAACGGGCAGGTCCACAGACGGACGGCATCTCCGCGGTTCCTGGGGCCAGGGAAATGAGAGGGGAGCACCACTGTGGGGAGGTGGGGGCTTCCTACAGTGGGCTGTAGCGATGGGTGACCGCAGTGAGTACACGCACCGCTGAGGTTCATACTATGAGTCTGTTGTTCGCTCTGCTCGTTCCATGCCCATCAGTTGTCATCACCAGCGAACAACTGGGGGCTTCGCCCTCCCTCCGGAACCTGACGCAGGGGCTATGGGGCCAGGACCGGCCTGTTGAGAAGCCCCTGCGGCATCTGGCTGGGCGCCCTGAGGGTGCCTCATGAAAGCCCCGTGGCGTTAGACACGTGGGGGCCACAGCACGTGTAGAGCCCAGCCAGTGAGGCTGGATGCAGTGGCTTCGCCGCCCTCTCTCGGGGACGAGGTGGTGTCCCCTAGGAGGAGGGTCGGCTTGAACCACGTTTCCTTCTTTCTCTCGCAGGGATGGTGACGGCCGAGCTGTACCAGAGCAACCAAGGCCAGAACGTGGTGCACAAAATGACCGAGAAGTTTGACCAGGTGGGGCGGGCTCCGTGAGCCCGGGGCCTGAGGTCACGGGAGCTTCCTCCTGAGCAGCGCTGCCCTGCCCCCCCCCACCGGGCATGCGGGCTTGCGGTCAGGCCTGGGGGTGGAAGGAGCTGAGGCATCCCCATTTCCTGGGTAGGAGCCGTCCTCCTCTCCTTCCCTGGGAGAAGCGGGCCTCTTGGGGTTCCATGTTGCTTTATAAAGACTAACATGAACCATAAATATGGGACATTCTGTCACGTATGGGGCAAGTGCGGCTATAAAATGGTACTCACATGGCCATTGTCCAGAGGAAGGGACAGAGCGAGGCCAGCAGGTGCCCAGACGTGCCCTGTGCCCGTCCGGACCACCTCCCCGCGGTGACAGGAGCATGTCCCTGAACTTGGTGCTCACAATATTTCGGTGCCCTGGCTTTGCTGCTGCACATGGGCACCCACGCATACCAGCCCCGCTCTGCCCGGCTTCCAGCTCCGTGCCCGGGAGACACCAGTGCTCAGCGTGGCGTCTGTGAGGCTCCGTCACACGGACGCACAATTTAAGAAATAATTTATATACACGTGAATAATGTCGAGTAAACGTCTATGTCATGGCTGTGGAATGTTCCATCGCATGTGTGTGCGTGGTTCATGTCCCTTCTGCTTCTGATGGCGTTCGGGTTGGTTTTGAGCTTTTTCTGTGTGTGGCTGTGGACGTGCATGTCCATGGGTCCTGCTCTCCGTGTTCCCGCGTGTGCGTGTAATGAACGTATGCACATTTGACTCTGTGGTGTGAGGCCAGCTTGTTTTCATGGCATCTCCACGTGTGCGTTAGGCTGCGTGGCTCTGCATCCCCGTCCATGTTGGCTGCCGGATAGTTTTTGCCAATCTTGTAGTTGTATGCATGGTTCAGTTTCCCGGACTGTTAGTGAGCTCAAGCGCCTCCTTGCATTTTAAAGATGATTTTCTCTTGTTTAACACGTTGTTTTCATTGTGGAAAAATACACCCAGCATACAATTCACTGTCTTAACCATTTCAAGTGCATAGCTCAGTGGCATTGGGTGCCTTCACACTGTTGTGCGACTGTCCCCACCATCTGTCCCCAGAACTTTCCATCATCCCAGCTTGAAAGTCTGTCCCCATCACACACTATCTCCCGGTCCCTGGCCCCACCATCTACTCTCTGTCTCTGTGGATGGGACTCCTCTAGGGACCCCGTGTACGTGCAGTCCCACAGGATGTGTCCTTCTGTGTTGGGCTCATGTCCTCAAGCTCCATCCACGTCCTAGCAGGTGCAGAACGTCCTTCCTCTTCAAGGCTGCGTCATGTTCCACTGTGTGCGAACTCATCCCTTCAGCGAACAGACGTCATATCTACAAAATTTCTCACATCTTAAAATACCTAGAAAGTGTCTTCAGAAAGTTTTGTGAATCAAGTCCGTGAACAGTAACTGTTTTCTTTTAACTTTTTATTTGGAACAACACTAAACGTAAGAAAAGAAGAATACGTAAACTTCACCTGCATTCAGCAACTAATGCTCTGCTGTCTTCAGCTTATCCCCCATGTGTGCACGTGTGTCTCTGTGCCATGCATGCACACGCATGTGCACTGTGCACATGAGCGAGTGAATGCATGTGTGTGTGCCATCTTCAGCTTATGCTCCATGCGTGCACGTGTGTCTCTGTGCCATGCATGCACACGCATGTGCACTGTGCACGTGAGCGAGCGAATGCATGTGTGTGTGCCATCTTCAGCTTATGCCCCATGCGTGCACGTGTGTCTCTGTGCCATGCATGCACACGCATGTGCACTGTGCACGTGAGCGAGCGAATGCATGTGTGTGTGCTGTCTTCAGCTTATCCCCCATGCGTGCATGTATGCCTCTGTGCCGTGCATGCACACGTGTGTGCGCTGTCCATGTGAGCAAATGCACGTGGGTGTGTGCCATCTTCAGCTTATGCCCCATGGGTGCTTGTATGCCTCTGTGCCGTGCACACACGTGCATGTGCACTGTGCACGTGAGCGAGCGAATGCATGTGTGTGTGCCATCTTCAGCTTATGCCCCATGCGTGCATGTGTGCCTCTGTGCCGTGCATGTACGCACGTGTGCACTGTCCATGTGAGCGAGTGCACGTGGGTGTGTGCCATCTTTGCCTTATCCCCCATGCATGCGCATGTGCCTCTGCTATGCATGCACACACGTGTGCACCGTGCATGTGAGCGAATGCACGTCGGTGTGCGCCGTCTTCAGCTTATCCCCATGCATGCACGTGTGCCTGTGATGTGAATGCACACGTGTGTGCACCGCATGTGAGCGAGCAAATGCATGTGTGCACGTGTGAGTGTGTGTGTGCAGGTCCATGCATATGCACAAGTGTGTTTGCCGCCGTGTGTGTTCACCAGAACCGCCCGTAAGGGGGCTGCAGACTGAACTGGGCCCTGACTGTGTCCTCCTGTGTGGCCATGAGTGCTCCCGTGAGACCGTGGTCCTGTCCTCACTCTCGGGCACTCTAAGTCACTGGAGGACAACATCCGTGCAAAGGATCTGCACACGTTACCATGCCTGTCTCAGGAATGTCCTTCACGTTTGTTTCTGTCCCGTTCAGGGTCCCGCTAAGGTCCCCACATGACATTTAGCCATCTGTGCCCGGGCTCCCTTGAAGCCCACAGGTTTGGCACTTCGGAGAGCCCAGGCCGGTAATTGAGGAGGATGCGCCTACTTGCTTCCGGCTTCTGTGTCCCCGAAATTAGCTCCTTCCTTGGGGTCCCTCAGCGTGTCCCTGACTCGATTGGGCCTCTTTCCTCAGAGAGCTCCCGTCACCAGATCGGGGTCCCGTTCGGTCTCCCCCCACCTCTGAAGCAGCCGTGGGAGCTTTGCCAGCCCCTCAGCCTCTGTGCCTCATGGGAGACCCTGCGCTTCCCAAAGAGCAGGCCCCTGGACACGTAGGGAAATGCCATAGTGTGCGGGGCCCACAGCGGGCAGGGTGACATGCACAGCCACGGCACTGGCCATATGGAGATGTGGCCAGCGAGCACGAGAGGCTCCGATGCTTCCGGGTCCTCTGTGCAGAGTGGCATCTCCCCATGCTGGCTTCCAGAGATGACACGTGCATGCTCTGAGTGCCAGCCGAGTACACGAAGTGGCTGAGCGCCGCAGACGCAGTCCGTCCGCACGGCTCCCGAGGACACTGATGTGAAGGTGGACGTGGACTGCTGTTGTGGAGACAGGCCGTGCATGCTGTCGGCTGCTCGGAGCCGTTCCCCCCTCACCCACGGGCCTCGGCCTCCAGGGGGGATGCAGACCAGCTCCCAGCACCCTGTGCTGCATGGGCCTGTCCTGCCGGGACGCGCTGCAGCCGGCGACGGGGGACTTGACCAGCACGTCTCGTCTGTCCTTGCAGGAGACCGGGCTGTACTACAAGAAGTTTCTGGCCTACCCCTGGATCCTGACCATCATGTGGCCAGAGAAACTGGTAACACACATTCCACTGTTTAAGAGTGGGGTGGTTCTGTGTGGCTTCCCGGCACACCTGAGGCTGACGGAGCCCCGGGTGGTCCCTGTGGAGCTCCCAGCACGGGGTGGGCGCCCTGATCACCAACGAGGGACTGCGGCCGTGTGCCCGGCTCCCACGGGAGCCGCCCCGAGCCAGTCCTGTGGACGGGGCCTGCCGGCACGGCGCATACAGACCTCACTCCATCCGGACTGCGGCGAGGGGGGCTCGGGCTGACCGGACCCCGTCCTGTCCACACTGAGTGCAGTAGAGCCTCCGAGTCTTGTCCACAGTGCGACAGGACCTGACCGCGCTCAGTCCACACTGAGTGCCCTTAGGTCCCGTGGTGTGTTGCTTTAATCGACAAGGTGAAGCCAGACTCCGTGTGCAGTGGGACAGTCAGACCTGACCTGTCCTGCAAAAGTGACTTCATCCAGTGAGTTCTGTCCACACTGGGACGGTTTGACCAGAGTGAGTTCGTCTACACTGGCGCATTTAGACCCGACACTGTTCTTTCTACTCTGTGTCATGGAAACTGACTCTTCTCTCTACACTGGCACATTTAGACCAGATCGTGTTCTGTCTACACTGTGTCATGGAGTCCTGACGTGTACTGTCTACACTGGCTCATTTAGATCTGATCATGTTCTGTCTACACCGTGTCATGGAGCCCTGACTGTGTTCCGTCTACACTGGCGCATTTAGACTTGATCATTTTTTTTTTTTTTAAAGATTTTATTTATTTATTTGGCAGAGAGACACAGTGAGAGCAGGAACACAAGCAGGGGGAGTGGGAGAGGGAGAAGCAGGCTTCCCGCGGAGCAGGGAGCCCGATGTGGGACTCGATCCCAGGACCCTGGGATCATGACCTGAGCCGAAGGCAGACGCTTAACGACTAAGTCACCCAGGTGCCCTAGACTTGATCATGTTTTGTCTACACTGGGACATTTAGACCAGAGTGTGTTCTGTCTACACCGGCACATTTAGACCTGAAAGTGTTCTTTCTACTCTGTGTCATGGAAACTGACTCTTCTCTCTACACTGGCACATTTAGATCTTATCATGCTCTGTCTGCCCTGGGATGTTTAGACCTGACAGTGTTCTGCCTACGCTGGCTCATTTAGATCTGATCTTGTTTTGTCTACACCATGTCACGGAGCCCTGACTGTGTTCTGTCTACACTGGCACATTTAGACTTGATCATGTTTTGTCTACACTGGGACATTTATTTTTATTTATTTATTTTTTTAAGATTTTATTTATTTGAGAGAGAGAGAATGAGAGATAGAGAGCACGAGAGGGAAGAGGGTCAGAGGGAGAAGCAGACTCTCTGCTGAGCAGGGAGCCCGATGTGGGACTCGATCCCGGGACTCCAGGATCATGACCTGAGCCGAAGGCAGTCGCTTAACCAACTGAGCCACCCAGGCGCCCCTACACTGGGACATTTAGACCAGAGTGTGTTCTGTCTACACTGGCACACTTAGACTGAAAGTGTTCTTTCTACTCTGTGTCATGGAAACTGACTCTTCTCTCTGCACTGGCACATTTAGATCTCATCATGCTCTGCCTACACTGGGATGTTTAGACCTGACAGTGTTCTGTCTACATTGCGTCATGGAGCCATGACTGTGTTCTGTCTACACTGGCACATTTAGACTTGATCATGTTGTGCCTACACTGTGTCTTGGAGACCTGACTGTTTTGTCTACGCTGATCATGTTTGTCTACAGTGGCATATTGAGACCTGTTCATGTTTTGTCTATGCTGTGTCATGAAGCCCTGACTGTGTTCTGTCCACACTGTGTCATGGAGATCTGACTGTATTCTGTCTACACTGGCACATTTAGACCCGACCATGTTTGTCTACACTGTGTCACGGAGACCTGACTGTTTCGTCTACACTGGCACATTTAGACTGGATTGTGTTCCATCTACACTGGCACATTTAGACCTGATTGTGTTTTGTCTACACTGTGTCATGGAGATCTGACTGTTGGGTCTACCCTGGCATGTTTAGCCCTGATCATGTTCCGTCTACACTGGCACAGTTAGACGTGATTGTGTTTTGTCTATGCTGTGTCATGGAGCCCTGACTGTGTTCTGTCCACACATTTAGAGCTGACCATGTTCTGTGTAGTCTGTCCTGTAGTCTCTGTGTGCTGTTGTGATGGTCACTGTTGGAATGACCCAAGCCGTCAGGGTTTCTGTGGCCGTCTGCATCTGGGTGGAGAAGGGTAGAACAGGAGCTGTTGTAGGGCGCCATGTGGCCGGCCCCTGGCACAGCAACTGCAGGTGTCCTGTGGCTGGAGATTCACCTGGTGTCCTTCATATCATTCATTCCTCACCATCTCGTGTGTGCAGACGAGATACCATGTATTAGCGCACTTCACAATGAGGGTGTGGGAGGGTTTCTCACAAAGTGCACTGAGTTTGGGGAGTGAGGACTGACCTTGCAGACCCGGTTAGTGACCTGGTCTAGCCTCGGAATGGGGGGTCTCAGGACATGTTTGTAACCCCGTAGGTGACTTGGTCCAGCCTCGGGATGGGGGGTTTCGGGACATGTGTGTAACCCCGTTAGTGACTTGGTCTAGCCTCGGAATGGGGGTGTGTGCGTGGATAGAGGCAGGAGGCGGGTTGTCCTGATGAACATCTTGCCATGTGCGTAGATAGAGGCTGGAGGCGGATTCTCCAGATGAATGTCTTGCCACGTGCGTGAATAGAGGCTGGAGGCCAGTTGTCCCGATGAACGTCTTGCCGTGTGCATGGATAGAGGCAGGAGGCGAGTTGTCCCGATGAACGTCTTGCCATGTGCGTGGATGGAGGCTGGAGGCGGGTTGTCCCGATGAAAGTCTCGCCATGTGCGTGGATAGAGGCTGGAGGCGGGTTGTCCTAATGAATGTCTTGCCGTGTGCGTGGATAGAGGCTGGAGGCCGGTTCCCCTGATGAACATCTTGCCGTGTGTGTGGATAGAGGTTGGAGGTGGCTTGTCCCAATGAACATCTTGCCATGTGCATGGATAGAAGATGGAGGCCCATTCTCCTGATGAATGTCTTGCCGTGCTTGTGGATAGAGACCAGAGGCTGGTTCTCCTGATGCACCCCTTGCCGTGTGCATGAATAGAGACCGGAGGCTGGTTCTCCTGATCACTCCTTGCCATGCACATGGTTAGAGACTGGAGGCCGGTTCTCCTGATCGCCCCTTGCTGTGCTCATGGATAGAGACTGGAGGCCTGTTCTTCTGATGAATGTCTTGCCGTGTGCGTGGATAGAGACTGGAGGCTGGTTCTCCTGATCATCCCTTGCCGTGTGCATGGATAGAGACTGGAGGCCTGTTCTCCTGATGAACATCTTGCTGTGTGTGTGGATAGACTGGAGGCCTGTTCTCCTGATGAACGTCTTGCCGTGTGCGTGGATAGAGACTGGAGGCCGGTTCCCCTGATGAACGTCTTGCCGTGTGCGTGGATAGAGGCTGGAGGTGGCTTGTCCCAATGAACATCTTGCCATGTGCATGGATAGAGGCTGGAGGCCCATTCTCCTGATGAATGTCTTGCCGTGTGCGTGGATAGAGGCCTGTTTTCCTGATGAACGTCTTGCTGTGTGTGTGGATAGAGACTGGAGGCTGGTTCTCCTGATGAATGTCTTGCCGTGTGCGTGGATAGAGGCTGGAGGCCGGGTCTCCTGATGAGCCCTTTGCCGCACGTGTGGAAAGAGACTGAAGGCGGGTTGTCTAATGACTTGATTGCGGGGCACGTGAAGGAAAGAGGCAGGAAGGCTGATGGGCGGCTGGTGAGCTGTGCCCTCCACACCTGCAAGCCCACAGTGATCTCTTCCCTTTCCCATTCCCCGCCCCTGACTCCACCCCTGGCAGAGTCACTGGAGTTTCTTGTCAGCTCAGCGGGAGCAGGAATGTGCTAAGTCCCCAAAGCGCCAAAGCATGCTTTTAAGTACCTTTCATGTTTGCAACGAATATTTAAAGCACCTGAAATCAGCCAGAACCAGAGTGAAAAACAGGAGGGCCTGGCTTCTCTGGGATGAGTGTTGGAGAGGTGCCTGCACGCTTTCCTCAGGGTGACCTGAGGTCCTAGAGACCCGGCTCCTTCCCACACGTGGGGGTCCACCCACACAGCCTACAGACCTGACCAGGGGGACGTGGGACCATTTGTCGAGGTGCAGGGTGTGGGAGAGGTGGGGTGATCCTCGTGGGTGTGGATATGTGACCCCCAAGTTCTGGGTCTCAGGGGGTTGGGGTCAGCGGGTGAGTGTGTATATCTGACCCCCGCTAGGTGCAGGGTCTGGGAGAGCTGGGGTCACTGTGGTGGGTGTGGATATGTGAGCCCCCCAATGCAGGAATGGGAGTGTGGGCACCTTGTGTCAGAGTGGATGTGTGACCCCAGGTGCAGGGTCTGGGAGATTGGGGTCACCCTAGGTCAGAGTGGATGTGTCACCCCCCCAGGTGCAGGTCTGGGAGATTTGGGGTCACCCTAGGTCAGAGTGGATGTGTCACTCCCCCCAGGTGCAGGTCTGGGAGATTGGGGGTCACCCTGGGTCAGAGTAGATGTGTCATCCCCCCAAGTGCAAGTCTGGGAGATTGAGGGTCAGCCTGTGTCAGTGGATGTGTGACTCCCCGCCAGGTGCAGGTCTGGGAGATTTGGGGTCAGCCTGTGTCAGAGTGGACGTGTGACCCCCCCCCCAGGTGCAGGTCTTGGAGATTGGGGGTCACCCTGTGTCAGAGTGGACCTGTGACCTCCCTAGGTATAAAGTCTGGGAGATTTGGGGTCACCCTGTGTCAGAGTGGATGCGTGACCCTCCCAGGTGCAGGGTCTGGGAGATTGGGGGTCACCCTATGTCAAAATGGATGCATGACCCTCCCCAGGTGCAGGTCTGGGAGATTTGGGGTCACCATGTGTCAGAGTGGATGTATGACCCCCCAGGTGCAGGTCTGGGAGATTTGGGGTCACCCTGTGTCAGAGTGAATGTGTGATCCCCCAGGTGCAGGTCTGGGAGATTGTGGGGGGGTCACTGTGTG